CCTATCCTCTGCTTTTGGCTCCACGTGTCACTCTGTTATGCGACCATTTGGCATAGCATATTTTATCCTATATACTGACATCTTATATTTTGTTTAAATTTTATACGTTGATGATGTACATCATATTTTCGTGCCTAACCTACATCCAATTAAACTGGATAAATATATATATATATAAAAAATCTTGGCACTTTATACAATTTGAATCTTTTTTCTTTATGTCAAAGTAAGCTGACAACTTCCTAGCCGGACCACTTTCCAACTACAAAGATTTTCGTTAGGACTTCAAGATGTACGTAGTACTCTCTCCATTTCGTTTTATGCTATTTGATAGGATGCAAGTTTAAAATATTTATTAAATTTATATATTAATAAATTAATGTTGCTGATTATTTTATTGCATGTCATCTATTTTATGGTTTTTAGGATACTGTCATTATTTCTATGGTTATGCTGACGATACTGAGGGCGTACGCAGGAATTTTTGTAAGCGGTGTCGAAATTTATAAAAAAAAAACTAGAAAATAACTTTGATTATCATACTTTTAGACAAGAAATAGCCTTAGTCAATTGATTTTGTTGAGTTTTAAGTTATAAAAGGTCCTGAGTTCAATTCTACTTCATCAAAATTTTAACCACAAAGACTCTCTCAAATATTTGCCGAAGAAAAATGTGCTAGTTGATCAAACACATAACCAACACACCAAGATACAATTTATATTAATGGGTGCCATTTTTTCCTACTTATCCGTTTTCGTACAGTATTAATACATATATTTAGTAAAATTTTCTGACGAAGCGGTGTCGCGTGACACCGCTTCGGTAAGCGTGCATCCGCCCCTACTGATGTATTGTCTTTTCTTGTTTTATTTCCATCTTCCTGAGCCGAGGGTCTATCGGAAACAACCTCTCTGACCTATCTGGATAGGGGTAAGGTCTACGTACACACTACCCTCCCCAGACGGCACTTTGTGGAATTTTACTGATCGTCGTTGTTATTGTTGTATAATAATAAATTAATGATAGTGAATGCAAATATTAAAATAGTGATCGAAAAAAAAGAAAATTTACATCAAAGTTAAAGTATGAATAATTTAATGAATTCTTAAAACTCTTAAATACTGAATAAGTTGTATAAAGATAAAGTAATGTTTAGAACCTATCTGAGCACCAATAAATAAATAGAAATTGATAAATGCTCTCTTCTTTTTTTTTTTTTTTGGTTGAAAAGATAAATATATTATAGATACTTAAACACGTACATAAGAGTTTATAGGATGCATGCATTGCATGAGTTGAGGAGAACTAGAACTAGCTACTATGTCCTCCTTATGGAAACGATGAGCATACACAGAACTTGGATTAGCTACTACATCACTACTACTACTAGATACAATACTATTTATGCAACTACTATTAACTAACATATTGCTTGATTTGAGTAGTCTTCTTCTAAGCATTCCTTCCTGATCTTGCTGGTAAAAAGGTGTAACAAAATGTGGAGGACTTCCAAAAAGTACACAACTAGCCTCCGCATGCACTGCTCCATATTTAGCTAGACAGTCTGCAACATAGTTTTGTTTTCTGTAGATACTTTGTATTTTTTGATTATCCAGCTGTAGGAGTAATAACCTGCAATTATTGATTAAATTAGTATATTGTATAATAGGTGTAATAATCATACCAAGTTTGCAGTTGCATATGTTTCGATGATCAGTGGAGTGAGTTGGTGCTGAATAGCTATTTTTAGCCCCATGATAAGTGCCAACAATTCTGTCTGAACACTGGAGCCATGTTGTGCTCTCCCTGCAAAACCTATAATCCATTTGCACTGTTGATTGCGAAATAACCCACCAATACCACATTTATTTTGAGTAGTAAATGTTGAACCGTCAATGTTTAACTTAAAAAACCATCCATCTGGTGGATGCCATTTTATATAGAGAGACAATAATGAAGTATGTCTTTTTGTATGATTTGTGAGATAGTAAAATTCAGCAGCCTGTTTGTATACTAGAGAAGTACTGGAGTGAAGATGTTGATGATCAAAGTAGTTTTTATTTTTTATAGACCATAACTGCCACAAAGCAAACGGCAAGATTATGGAAAATGGAATGTGGTTAACTGATGGCAAATGTTGCTTATGTATAAAATTGTGCCACCAAGAAATATGATTAGCAGGTGTTGGACTAATTATATGTGTAGTAGTTATACTAAGAGCAGCCCAAAGTGCAGTAGCATTATGACATTCAAGGAAAATATGATTTATAGTCTCAGGGATCAAATGACATTGTGAACACAAGGAGGAATTTATAATTTGTAACTTATGTAAATATGCAGCTGTAGGAAGTCTTTCATGGCATATTAACCATAAAAAGAAAGAAAGCTTGGGTGGTATGTTAAGTTTCCAAATCCATTTATAGTTCATGAACTCATTTGTTATTGATTGATTGAGTTCATTTACGAGAGTATGATACATAGATTTAACAGAGAATAGCCCATTCGGTGTAATTGCCCAATAAATTTGGTCATAAATGATGGGCACCATTGACATATAGATATCAGTGATTGTAAGTTCAAAGAAGGAGGTATTACAAATAACAAATTATGTAGGTGCCACTTGTGGTTAAAATAGTAATCAGACTCAAAAGCTTACTAAGTTCCATCATTGCTCAGTATCTTAAGTATGTTGTCCTGTCTGTTGCCTAAGATTTAAAAGTTGTAGTCCTTGTAATCATGATTACCTTGGTGCAAAATCTATAATTATGAGATCAACTCACCATTACTGCTTTTGGAGTAAATATTATTATAATTATACGACATAAAACAAAAAGGTCTAAATTAATGGCCAATGGGCCTTTCTCGTACTATGTGGTGTGCTATTTAGTTTACTCAGATGTTTTTTGTTAGCCTACTTTAATGCTTAGGGGTCCTTTAAACACCAATTAGGTTAGAATTAGTTATTCTGATATTATTTTTTATCGATTGTTTGGTATTTTTTTCATTCCACTTTTGATTGTTTGGTCTTTTTTTTTTGTGGTCTACAATATTTGATTTTTGCAAATATCAAGAAGGAATTAACTTGTTCTTTCCAAAATTGCCCTTGGAGTTAAGAGCTTAGGAGTAGTTTATTATCATATTTTCAATGAACAACTTAAGGTTAATATGGTCAATTTCATTATTTATTAATGCTAAAGATGAATTTCTTACTATGTGTGAAAAGAGCAAAAAATTCACTTAAAGTGGGACCAGAGTGAGTATGTTGTATTAATTTCGGGATTGTCAATTTTACCGCTTTATCCTTAGATAAATTATCCTTTGATTATTATTTCTCCATCTGGCAGGTATAAATTATCAAAGTACTATTTTTAATCACGGAATAACCTATCTCAGGATTAATAATCAAACAAGGTATGAAAATTAACGGAGTATTGCATGTCATATAACACGTCTTGAATATATGTAAACTCAAATATCAACTCAATCTATTCAAATAAAACAATTTTGGATAAATATATGTATCAATTAAAAAGTGGTAGACATTTAAACGAATATTAGTTACTGTTTCATATCTTTCGATTGAAGGAAGTAGCTACATTTCACGTTCAGAGATAAATGCTAGACGTAACTTTTTAATAATACTTAAAATGCAGTAACTAAGATTATTCAGTGGCAGAGACTTGAGTAATCCGAGTTAATTTCATATTTTTTATTTAATTAAATAGCTTTATTTGCATAAATATGCCACGTAGTCTGGTGTATACACGTAAGCTTTAGTCCTAACTCCTAAAATAATGCTAAAAATTAAACTAGCATTTGACCTTTGTATGCACTTCTAGATTCTTGCAACAAATCGATCTTTCCCCAATATGACATTAAACTTAAACAAAAAATTAATATTGCTCCAGCCATTTTAGAATTAGTATTTATCCGTCCTTGTTGAAGGTATAAGTCGGATTAATACTGACGTTGAAAGTATTAATTTTATTATATGTACTAACAGAATTTTCATTAAAGATCTTGCCATCAATGAAGCATTCCAAGTTGCAGCGATGATTGAGAAGTTGAAACGCGAGGAGAAGGGCAAAACATTATCTTTCGTTGTAAATTTTTTCTACATAAAACATTAACATAAAGAGTGAACCCTATTTCCCCTAATAATTAATATCTTTGAACTAGAGAGATATAATGTAATGCTAGCAACTGGCTTAGCATATCTTGTCACATTCAAGACAGGCAACATGCTATGATTCTTGGCATGTCCAAGAATTATTTGAAAATCATGACAAAACTAGAACAAACAAATATATATTAGATATAGTTCTCTATTTTTTATTTTATTTATATTATAAGGCACATTATAATCATCATTATTCTAGATCTAAAGCCTCAAGAGGATATATCAAACAAACATGCTTTATCCAATCCCCATGCCCCACCATAGCCTTATAGCACAACACATCTACAACAACGACAACAATAAGTGGCGGTGCTAGAATTTTTATTAAGAGGAGTCAAAATATAAAGAAACAAACTCATCAAGAAGTCAAGGGGTGTCATTATATAGTATATATACATATTTTCAAAAAAAAATACCGAGCTAAAACTGTGTAATATTCAGATGAAGGGGTGTCGCCCTTGGTGCATGTGGCTCAGCCACTGAAAGCAATACCAGATTTTAGCCTTATCTCGTGGAGGTAAAGAACTATTTCCGATAAATGCTCGACTCAAAAAGAAGATTTCTCGACATATTTGAAAAGAAGAAACAATTGTAAAAAAGTCATGCTGAAATTCAACACCACATCTATTTTTTCATAAAATGGTGGTGTTCAATCTATTTGCGTGTATTTTAATTATTATATCGTCTAATTTTATCCATCAAAATTTAAGCAAATAATTAAAAATAGAGCATTTTTGTTTAGTCTCAGATTTGAATATTGATTTTTAAATTTTTTATCCAAATCCTTAAGCCACGTTAGTATGCTCTCACCATCTTAAAGCAAAAAGTAAATAACCAAACCATAATCAATGGCGTCTCAATAAAGCCACCCAACTCCCATTTTTTTCTACTCTTTCTCTATACAAATTGCCAAAGCACTCAATTTCTCTTTTCCCTCACTCTCAAAGCAATGTCTTTCCCTGTTTTCTTCTTCTTTACTTTACTTTTCTTGAACAATCTACCCAAATTACCCGCTCTTCCGGTTTTACCCGAACCCGACCCGGCTGAGGTACATTCTCAAACATTCTTACCTTCTCCTTCACCTCCGGCCACAATTCCCGCTTTCCCGGAGCAGTCCAACGTCGCCGGTTGCCCTTTAGATCTCCCTGATGAACTCTACCACAACATTAAGTCATCCTGTGGGTCCAGAAGTAATTCGGGTCAAGTACACCGGACCCGTTGTTGCCCCGTTCTAGCCGCGTGGCTCTACTCGGCTTACTCTGAAACCGCATTACACAGAGCCGTTACGAAACTCCCGCAGTCGACGTCCGTTGATATGCCGGTGCTTCCAGATGACTCGGAGACGTGTGTAGACTCACTTGAAAAGGCTTTGGGAAACAGAGGCATTGAATTGGTGAAGCCAAATCAGACTTGTGATGTAGTTTATTGTTACTGTGGGATTAGGCTGCATCCGCTTAGCTGCCCAGAAGCATTTTCTGTGAATTCACAAGGGAGATTGGTGGGTGATAAAAGCGTGAAGAAATTGGAAAGAGATTGTTTGAGCAGTAATGGGTATTCTGGTCTTGCTGGTTGCTCCAAGTGTTTGCACACTCTTTATCTGGTACGTTAACGCCTTCTTCTTCTGAATGAGTAATATAAAAGCCGCAGCCTTGATACAGTTATTTATGTTTGGCATAATGTGGGTCTGAAATATAGAGTGAAAATGTAGAGAATTTGATATGGGGTGTGAGATATTGGGAAAGTTGGCTACTTTGCTTTTTTAAAATTAAGTTTACATGCGGGAAAACGGTGAATTACAGTCTATAGATAAAGAAAGAAGAGAAAGTATGAGCTTCATGAAGATAACACATTGCATTTGCATCTATAAATTACTACTACAACAACAACATACTAAGTATTATCTCACACCGTGAGGTCAAGGGAGGGTAATGTGTACGCAAGCCTTACCCCTACCTTGTTGTGAGGATAGAGAGGCTGTTTCCAATAGACTCTCGGCTCAGGAAAATATAAGCACCACATTAATGATTAACGTAAATATAGACGAGAAGGGACAATACGAAAAAGTCATATAAAAGCAGAATAAAAACAGCAAGACAGTAAGGCGATCAACAATGAAAGAAAATAACGGTTAGTCATAAAAACCTACTACCAACAGAAAGCGAGACTGCGTGCCAATACTACTGTTATAAACACTCTAGACTACCTACTCTACTACCCTAATCCTCGAACTCCATACATTTCTATCAAGGGTCATGTCCTCGGTTTGGCATACCTCTCCATAGCCCTCCAAATAACACCTCTTTTTGGTTTAACTAATCATCTTCTCTTGTTCCCAATTACTCTTTTCTTCAGACCTGCATATACTAGAAAGATTGATCTGTAAAATAGTCTTATATCAAGAAGAGCAGCTGTCATAGGTTTCATATTTATTTCAGCGTTGATACAACTTTTAAACTGAGTTCGCTCATTCATTGAAGTGTCTACACTCTACACTAAGCTTAAATGAAGGTAATCACATTATTAGAGGGCTCAGAATCAATGCATTATCAGTAATAAAACATCACCACTTGTTTGTGTAGGGTAGTAAAATTAAACTAGAGTACGTAAATAAAGCATTGATCTCATAAAGCAAGGAAAGATATATACTACTATGTCGTGGTTGTTCAGATGGCAACTCCTCTGATATTTGATATGCTTGTGTGTGGTTTTCTTCCTCTAAATTGCTTCCTTAGTTCCTTATATGAGAAAAAAGCAAAACACAAAAGAGGAGTCAGAATTACAAGAGCTGATTGGAATTCCAGGAGCCTCCTAAGGACCTTTTAGTTTATTAGAAAAAGCAATAAGAATATTCCTTAATTACAACTTGAGCTGATATTTAGCTGGATCCTCTCATCAGGGTGTCCGTTTTCAGCTTTAGTTCCCGTATTTTGAGCAGTTTTATCTCAAATTACTTTTATAATTGGTTCTTGTTAATTTCTTTAGCCCTGATTGATCACAATTTCTGTCATAACATTCTGCTTGCATTTCACTAGCAAGAATCCATCTGTTTGTTAGCTAAAAGAATTTTGTACTTGGGAATCATGTGAAAGTATGAGTTTGTCAATGACTAAGCATGTGATATAAGGTGGTACTAACTAGTTTTAGATTTACAAATAGAAGGTTATTTTTTATTCTCTAATGCATTGAACGACAATGCAGCTTAGTGAGGGCAGAGTCGAAAACAGGAGCAGGTCAGAGGATAGGACTAGGAAAATGCACAGCAGGGATTGCCAATTGATGGGTCTAACTTGGCTTCTCAACAAAAACAGATCAGGTTATATTCATACAGTTTCTGCTGTTTTGAGGGCTCTAATGTTAAGCAAAGGCAGTTCTGATCCCCAATCGTGCACGCTTAACAGCGATGGCATGCCATTTGCAGTCGACTCCTCAGAGATCAATGATCAGTCTTCTGCAGTTGTTATTCAGGGATCACTTTATCCTTATGTCCTACCTTTTCTTTTAGTATACATAAGCTCCATTGCATTGCTCTCCAGATACTAGTTAATCTCCAGCACTTGATCCTTGTACTAAAACATGTAGTCCTTGTTCAAATGTCACGTAGGGTAAATTCATTCCTCTGTATTTGTTGATTTAGGTTAGTGAAAATTGTAATTTTGTTGTGTGTGTAACGACTGTTCAGCAAATGAATGAAGCTGTGGCTATTCCTTGATAGTGCTACTGTGAAATTGAAATACCAGAAGTTGCTAGCTTAGCCAAAGGACTTTGCAATAACGATGATAAGGATTGAACTAATGAGAAGGTTTAGTTGCAGGAAAATGATCGTAAGAGACGAATTCTTAACTTCTTTCTACACATAGACTCCATAGGTTAATATATTTGTAGAAGTTACTACTTACTTGTAGAAGTAAATATTTGCAGAAGTTAAGTTAAAATAAGATTTAAAAATCTAACCTTGAGCTAGGGCGCTTGAGAAAACCATGACGAAGGAACTCGGCAAAATGACCCCGAGAACCATGACGAAGGAACTCGCCAAAATGACCCGTAACTTCGGGAGAAGCGGGTGCTCTCCTATCTTTTGATTAGGAAAGCGTTCATTCCTGCAATTGAATAGTATAAAATAGCTAAATAGTAACTTTTGTTGATCACATGAAAAAGAAAATAATGCGATACAATTTACCCTAAATCATTGGCGTTCCAACTAGGGTGTGTTTGGTATAAAGGACGGAAAATGTTTTCCAATTTTTCTATGTTTGGTAAGCTTAAATGTTTTGAAAAATATTTTCCTTCAATTGGAGGAAAATGTTTTCCTTATTAAGAGAAGAGGAAAACATTTTCCAAAACTCTTTCTCAATCTTCCCCACCTTATTCCCCCACTCCCACACCCACCCACCCAACCCCACCTCACCCCTCTCTCCAAAAAGACTTTTCTTTTTCAAATTTCAATTTTTTTTGTCACCACCCACCCTGCTACCCCGGCAACGGCGTCAAAAACTTGTTGCGACCAAAAACACCCACGCAAGTGCACATGATCGTCAAGTAATAGAGTAGTGAGTAGAGTATCGTTCCCTCGAAGACTTGTGATCAACTATTGACTGATTCAAACCCAATTACTTTACTTATTCAAGAGATGCGTCACGGAATAAAGATGTACTTATTTTACTACCTAAATTATCAAGAAATAATATAACTAAAGCAATTTACCAAACGAATAGCAGTTTCGAATAACACACAGTAGGAGAGGATATTCCAGGGTCACGGGCTAGTTAACAATCTTGTTGTGTCCTTAGCTTAAGATGACTAATCGATTTTCTGGGTTATTGATTGACAAGGTTTATATTACTCGTAAGAATCTGTCGACTTCTTACTTGCCTGCTCAAATTAACTCAATGCCTATATTTCTATGGAATTAAGATTAACAAGAACGCATTTACAATTCCTGCATTTTAACCAAGCAAGGCAAGTGGGTATATGTCTATCCCAATTGCGAATTCGTTCCCCGAGGCCCGGGTTCAAGAACCTGCTCTATTTAATTCTATATGCAACCTAGAATTCGCACTTTCGAGTTCAACTCTAGATTCGTAGATAGTGTTTCACTGTTAGCTACTCAGCAAAGCAGTTAATAACAGAATTAAATAAACAACCCAAGATGATAAACCAACTTTGTCAAATTAAACCTCAAACAACAATATTCATGTTTTACCCATGACCCTAGAACAATGGGTTTTAGCCACTCATACTATTGTTCATCACAATTAGATTCAATTTCATCATAATTAGCAAAAACGAAGAGAAGAAAAGAAAAACTTGATGATCCAATTTCCTCCTTGCCTCTTGCCTCTCTATGTCTTGCTTTAGCCTATGAAAACCTTGATAAACTCCCTTGGGTGAGCTTGACCTTATATAGGTTAAGTGAATTTTTCTCCAGATTTTCACTTTTGCCCCCAATGAACCATCGCCGGATTTTGGACTAGCGCGGCCGCGCATTTGTGCGCGTATCTGGCCGCGCTAGTTTGCTGAGTTTCTGTCTTGGACGCGCTAGTTTTAGCGCGGGCGCGCATATGGGCGCGCTAGCCCAGTTGTGCAGTGGCCTTGATTTTTGCCTTGTCTTCAACCATACTCAGCTCCGAGGGGTCTTTGTTGCTCCAAAATGGTTCCAAATCACATTTTCTTGCATAATATAAGCTCCTTAACCTGAAATATATACAATTCACAATTATAGCCCATATTTCATCAATTAATGATAATATGACCTTGGAATATAATCAAGCGGAAGCATAAATAATAGCTAAATCATCTAGATTCCGCCTATTTTCACAAGCACACCCTATATGTACGACAATGTTCTAATATATCTTTTAAAAGAAAAGGGAAGTCTTGGATAATATATTTTTGACCTAGTAGAATGAAAGCCAAAATATAACCAAGATTACGTACACTAAATTTACTGTAAGTCTTTTGTTTTAAGGGTAATACAATCCAATTATTTTATGATTTAGACTACTTAATAAAGATCTCAATATAATTTCTGGCTTTCCATTTTCAGCTACTTATATGCCCGCAACCTAAAAGTTCAAATCTATCCTTAATATTCAAATGAATCTGTGCTTCAATACTTAAGCAACTTGACTTACTATGCTTCAAAGTTCTGTAACAATTTTCACCGAATCCAAACATGCCACTAAAGGGAAGACTAAAACAGTAAACGTAGTCGTTCAAATTCAATTTTGGCACTGAAATTTTATAATTTTGCACTTAAAAGTTAAAGATGACATAAGTACGTATCTTATCGATTTCACAAAGATTTTACGGAGAAAATAAGGACTGTTATACTATCAAACAATATACCTAATAAACGTTTCTCCCATTTTCACAAATCTTAACTGCGTAAACCTAGCCTTTCATGTGTGTCGTACAGCACTAGTTAATTATGGAAAGAATTTTTTATGTGGATGTTTAATTGATTTTGGAATCAATATAGGTTTAGCTAACATATATGACACAATTGAAGAAAAATATCCATATACTTGACACTACTAGTTGAACCAACTACTTTTCTAGGAGAATCTTGACCTTATCGGATATTTATTTGTTGGTAAAAAAATAGAAATTTTAAATAATAATAATAGAATTTATATGTATTCAGTTTATTTCTCAATTTTATTTGTATCCGGTATGATGATGACACAAGTTGAGCTTAAATGAATAAACTGTTTACCTCAAAAACGGATAACAATTGAATTTATACTGTGATTTTAAGGATACGTGATTTACTTAGTACAAACTAAGAGAAGACGTAAATTGATACTGAAATTAACTGCAAATATGAATAAAGTAAACCAAATGAAATGTATAGCTTTGATCCTTGAGCTGGATTGCCCTCGAATCAAATGAATATTTCGCCGGAAAGTATGAACAAAGTAACAAAAATATTGAGAGCTGAAGAGAATGAGAATATATTGCTTTTTGTAACGCGTATATGATGATCTTTACAAATGGTCGGATCCCCTTTATATAGTAGGGGAATCCTATTCTTGGTACAATTCTAAATACAGTAAGAAATCCTATGATTGGCTAACTAATCGGCCTCTTCTTGGTATGTGCCGAGATTTGCGCCGTGATCCTCGCCCGATTGCGGATATTTCGTCTTTCCGCTTTTCGGCCCAGTAAGCTTCCCTCGATCTCTATCTTATTTTGTCCCGATCTTGATCGATCTCGATCTCATTCGGTCTCGAGCTTGACAACCTAACCCTGCACCAAAGTTTGATATAAATCGAAGCCAATCCTCGGCTTATCATGCTCTTCCCTCGATCAGCTGCACAAAGAGGGCAAGTCAGATTTTGACCGTATACAGATAGTCCCCTCGTTTTTTTGGAGAGTAATGACAAGAAATGACTTGAGTCCTCGATCTTCACCTCGATACATCATGACATACGCACCATGACGTAAGCAACAGAGGTAACCGAAACGTCTCGTCGGTACAGTTTCTTAGGCATTTAATGCGTTCCAGTCGACGGCCGGCCACCACGGATTTGAACCGTCATCTTAAACCTATAAATATATCTTTCTTCATTTTTCAAACTTTACTTTCAAATCTTCTTCACTCTAATCTTCAAAATCCTTTGCCTTCCTCAGAGCTTTGTATTTTCAGATCTCTGAGTTTCTTTACTTGTTTCATCACAAAATACCAAGCGCTCCGTTTTATTCTTCTCCATTCATAAAAATGGCTAAGACTTCAAAAACCGTTCCACAAAAGGAAATCACTTCTTCATCAAGGCCTGCCGGCAACGGAGCCGTGGCGGAACATCCCCTAGAAGACTTTGTTCTGACAAAGTATCCCACTGCTGCCGATTTTAAGGTAGATAATACACGCTCGACACCGGGTCGATTCAGACCGATGTCGAGATACATATGCACAATTATCGACGGTCTCCTAGACCAAGTTAAAAAGGACTGCAACTGGGTTGACAAGCACGCGGTGGTGCCCTCGCCCGAGGAATCAATTACTACCCATGTGGAAGGGTTTTTAAGTGTTTACACTTATCCTTTCACATTGGGTCCTTTAGACCCTATCAGCGTTGCCTTATGCAAGAGGTACAATGTGAACCTTGACCAGATCCATCCATCATTCTGGAGGATCGTGATCCTCCTCCGATTTTTTGTGAACAAGATCGAGGGGCATCCTTATACCTTCGACCACCTTATGCGTCTTTACAGTCCCCAGCTTTATCGAGGAGGATTGATCAAGCTTTACCGCCGATCCACCAAACCCCCGTTCTCGAGCATAGACGAGACCCGAGACCGAGGTTGGATAGGCCGATTTGTCCGAATAAAGACTTCAGACCTAATCCCTGCCGAAGACATTCCGTTTCTTGAAAAATGGAACATGAATCGTAAGTGTTGTTTTGCCTTGAATAGGGGTGGGCATAATACCGACCGAACCGAAAAAACCGTCTGAACCGTGAATTTCGGTTTTTCGGTTTTCGTTTAATATTTTTCGATCGGTGCACGGTTTTAAAATAATTAATTTTTGGTTTTTCGGTGCGGTTTACGATTTTTGTATTTCGGTTTTCGGTTAAATCGAAAAACGAAAATTCACGGGTATTAGACTATTAGTTCAAAACTTATAAGTTATAACCCAATGCCAGGAGTCCAAGCCCAAATGCCAATAGTCCAAGCCCACCCCGCCCAATTTACCGCCATAGTCACTTACG